ACGGAAGAGAGTGCTGTCTCCGTCTGCTTCTTGGACCTCCAAGTAACAGGTCATCCCCCTACTACGCAGATGTATCCTCCCACAGATGAAGAATCTTCCTTCTCAGAAGCCCAAGTTGCATCAGTAAAGCAAGTGAGAAAGAGCTTGCCTTCTCCAAGCCTCTCCCCCTTCTCTTTCAGCACCTCAACCCCTTTCTGCTTCACCTATGCAGATGCGGAGTATTGAACTCCAATGCTTGGGTGGGAGTTCAGATACTTCACCACACACTCAGCTGCATCCACCTGCTCTTCTGATGGATTCTGCACCACCCTAGCCAGCTGCCCAACCGAGAAAGAGATGTCGGGCCTCGTGTGAACAGCTGCATACAAGATGCTGCCCACCAAGGACTGGAATTGCTGCTGCTCCTCAGCTTCAACCCCTTCATCCTCTGCAGGCTTTACAAGCTTGAATTCTGCTGGCAAGGGAGTTGCAACCTTGCGCTCATTCTCAATCCCATACTTGATGAACTTCTCCCGGTGCAGTTTCAACCACCTGTTATCTGGATCCCTCTCTACGTGCATCCCTAGGTAGTATTTTACCTCCCCAACGTTCTTGCACTTGAAGTTCTCCATCAGCTGCCGCTGCACTTTCTGGATCTCCTTCATGCTGCTGCTGAAGAGAAGAATGTCGTCCACGTAGACCAGAAACAACACCAGCTTCTCCCCCTCCCCCTTGACAAAGAGGCTCTCATCACAGCTGCTGGTCCTGAATCCCATCTCCTCTAAAACAGCTGCCAGCTTCTGGTACCAGCAGCGTGGCACCTGCTTCAAGCCGTAGATGGACTTTTTCACATCCCTGCTGTCAAACAGCACACCCTTGGGAGGTTCCCACAGCAGCCATCCCTTGCTCTCAGCAGCCAGCCCCAAATGCACACACCAGATTGCACTTGCCCCCAACTTACTGTAGTAGGTCTTGGGGACGTGGGCGACTGCCATGCAACTGAACAACCTCAGCATGTCCACCGGCGGCTTCCTCCCAAGCCACCTCTCCAACGGCACCCACAAGTCATCCCCAACCTTTGTGAGTACCCTGTTCCTGGCGACGGTAGCGTGCCGAACAGCATGGGGCCACATCAAGTTGCCCAGCCCAGATTCTATGAGCAGCGCCCTAGCTGTCTCCAGAATTGTCCGGTTTGCCCGTTCTGCTACACCAATGGACTGTGGGGTGTAAGCCGTGGTCAGCTCCCTCTGGATGCCCTGCTTCTTGAGCCAGGCCGTCATCTCAGCTCCAAGGAACTCACCACCCCGATCTGTCCTAATCCGCTTCACCACACACTCCGCTTGATTCTCCACTAACGGCAGCCAATGATCCCGAATTGTGGAGGCGGCGTGATCTTTGTGCTTCAGCGGATACGCCCACATTAGCCTGCTCCAGTCATCCACTATGGTTAGGAAGTACCGCTCCCCCTTGTGCCCTTGCACCGGCAGCGGCCCCACCAAGTCCATGTGGACCAGCTCCAACGGCTTTTTGCTCCTGCCAACCACACTCTGGAAGGGGAAACGGGTGAACTTTGAAAGGAGGCAAATTTCACAGTTATCATCGGGTTGTTGTCTATTCAGCTTCAAGCCCTTAACGGCTCCATCCTTCTCCAACTGCTTCAGCAAAGGCATTGCCACATGCCCCAAAACGTCGGTGTAAAGGTGCCCAATCCGTCTCCGCAGATCTGGCTGACACTTTCACACCAACCCCTCCAACGGCGTTGCATTCCCCCTGGGATGCAGACCCCTCTCCAGCCTGCCCCCCACCGTGCCACGCTAGCGCCGGCAGCTGCCACATAGATCTGTACACGTCCTTGCTCTCGTGCAGATCCCAAAGCACCCGATTGCCCAGCTTCCCCTTATAAGTGCGAGCCCCATCCGTGTTGGTGTTCACCCCAGCCTTGCCAAGCTTACGGAGGGAGATAAGGTTGGCCTTCAGGTCGAGGATGAGGAGAACGTCGTGCAGCACCACCGTCTTGCCATCCGCTCCCTTAAACGCAGCTCGTCCCGCACCAACCACCTTCAACATGTGTCCAGAGGCAGAGCACACCTCGTTAATCGGTGCAGCGCATACGTCGTCCAGCAGGTCCTTGCGCGGCGTCATTGTCCAAGCAGCGCCTCTGTCCAACACCCAATAGTCCAGGGGGTGCAGCTCTGCTCCAACCTTAGCAGATGCGTCTCCTTGCTCCCCCTTGTCTCCCATATGGAAGAATTGGCCCGCGGTGCGCTCCTTCTTCTTCTCCGCACCGCCGTTGCCCTTCGGGTTGTTGTCGGACGAAGCAGCGACCATGTTGGTGCCGTTTTTCTGGTTCCTCCGCGCGCCGCCATCCTGGTGACGATTGTGGGGGGTCCATTCATCGGGTTTCTTATAGCACAAAAACCAGGGGTGCCCTTCCTTCTCACAATACCAGCAACTCCCTTTCATTTTGCCACCAGCACCCGACTTGCCCCCATGTCCAGATTTCGCACCGCGAACCCAACCGGTACCTCCTTGTTGGTCATTGGAGTCGTCGTCTTTCTTTGCACCGCGTCCAGCACCACCGAAGCCACGTCCTTTGCCATGTCATCTCCCTTACATCCCGTAGCCGCTGCTGCCGTCGTCTCCACCCCTTAGTTGGCGGCGACGGAAGTCCTCCTCCAGAATCTTCGTCCGCACCCACTCGAGCGTCCACAAGCTCTGGTTCTGCAGCAGGCTCAATCCGCTCGTGAATTGAAGCCACGATTCCGGCAGCAGCTAGAGCATCTTCAGGCACTTGGTCTGCTCCGAGTAGGTGATTCCCGCGATCGCCAGCTTCGCGTAGAGATCACGCATCTTGTCCAGGATGGGTTGCACCGGCTCTCCCTCGCTTAGGCGCAACGCGGACAGCTCCATCTCCATCATGAGCGTCGCAGCAACGGAGGTAGGGGCGTGCAGCTCCTTCAACACCGTCCACGCCTTCAGACCGCACTCAACCTCCGGCAGCAGGTGCATGACGTGGTGACGCTGGTTCAACTCCAAACTCTGCGACATCAAGTAGTAGCCAGCCGAGGCGCGCTCGTCCCAATCTTCCTGAAGGGCGGGGTCACTAGGTCTAGGCTCCTCCCCAATCATTAGTTTCAGCAAACCGATCTGACGGAAATAAAGTTGCATTTTCCAGGCCCAATCATCATAGCCCTCACCATTGAACTTCTCGACGGTGAAGTTTTTCAGCACCTCCTTGATCAGCGAGCCCTGGCTTGTTCGCGCTCCCCTTGGAGCAAAAACACCAGAATCTTGGCTGCCTCTACGATCTTGGGCTGAAGATTCACCAGCTACCGCCGAGGTGTTTGTTGGGTGCAAATTCACATTGCACGACATCCTGCCGTCTGTTTGTACGAGTATGCGTGTGCGAATGCATTTGGGTTTGAATGGAATGTTCGTGTGTTGGTTTGCTTTCGCAATTTTCGCTTGAAGCATTTGCAGGTACTCGCACAATGTGCGCTTCGGCATAACATTGTACGCGCTATGAACAGTACAAGCAGAAAAGACGAGCTCGCAAAGGAACCCAAGATGGAAGCTTTGCGGTTCAACTTACTTGATTGCGCAGATTCAGTTCTATCCAACTCAAAATTGTACTGTTCTGTTTGGTTGACTATAGTGTAGCAGGGCAGGAACTATAGGGGTACAATTTAGGTGAAGGTTGGATGTTGTTTGTCTGTATCTGCATGCTACAGGGCCAGGGGAAACCAGCGGAACCAGCATTTGGCTGGTTGGGCAAAGACAAAACAGGTTCTGTTTTTAGGACCTGAACCTGGTTGTTGTTTTTCCATGTTGGAAAAACAGAACCAGAGGTTGTTTACCAACCTACCACCTGCTGTTTTGTCCAGCCAGGTTGGTTCTGTTGCTTGGAATTATTTGGGATCATCCTTGGTTGTTCCCAGGTTTATTCCCAGGGTCCTTGCTAGCTAGAACTATATATTGTTTCTCAGTTTGTACCTGGATATAGTGAAATTGATTCAAGCGAATTCCTTCCTTGCTGGAAGTTCCTTTCTACGCGGTGCGACGGCGGAATGCTACCCGAGTCAACGCTAGTACGCTAGCACTCCAACGCTAGGCAAACGCTGTCCGAGCCATAACTTCGTAATGGCAGAACTTTTCGCGAGGCAACTTGGTTCATTCTAAAGCTCTTGGGGTGAGCTTCGATATAGGAAATTCTCAGCTTAATCCCGTCGACGGTCTGCACGATACGCTGCGCGATGTTCAAGGTACTCTTGCTGTTTTGACTAAGTCCCTCTTGATCCCTCTCTCTACAAACTCGGACCCAAGGATAGGGGCTGGTCTTGTACCAGGCACCCAAGGACCCTTGGAGGTGACCCCGAGGAGAGGTTTTAAGTGTGATAAAGTCTTAATAGCTTGAGTTTATTAGGCCCTTACACAAACAAAGAGGGTGGAGGGCAGGTGAGAGGGTGGAGGGCAGGTGAGAGGGTGGTGGCGAGGCGACTGACAAGATCTTGAGCGCAGAGAGGCCCTTGAAGGCGGACGTGAAGAATGCCAGTCGGTCCTGCAGTAGGTTGCTGGACATGATGCTGCATGGCGGGATGGAGTGATGGGTGGAGGGCAAGGTGGGAGGAGGTGAAGGAGAGTGTGTGGATGTATGTATGGGAGGTTGATGGCCGCACATGCGGCCAGAGCAGTGCTCCAGCACATGATGGCGCCCAAGTGAGTGGGGCGAGTGGTGGTGCAGTGCGGATGGCAGTGCTGCAGTGAGGAGAGAGAGGCGTGAGGGCTTACAGTGACGAGAGCGTGGTGAGCTTGGTGATGTCAGTGTGCATGCTGCCCTTGAGCTGCTGGGACGAGAGGTCACTGCAGTGAAGCACGGGTGAGATAGGGGAGCCAAGTGAGATGACAGCATGGCAGCAGGGGAGGAATAGTAATGATGGCAGGACACTTAAGACACAGGTGCTGTGATACTGTGGCTGTGCTCTACAAGCTTCAGCATAGAGAGCCCATTGCACGTGGCCCACTCACATGCTGGTGACCTTGCCGGTGGCGTTGCACTCCACGTTGGACCGCGCCCCCACCACCGTGCTCTGCCCCGCAATTTTGCACGGCGCCGTGCCCACCCAGTCCGTGAGAGTGACGCCTAGCGACGCCTTGAGGTTGAGCATGGCGCCGCGCATGGAGGGCTCGATGGGGCCGCCCTGGCAGAACAGCGCCACCACCGCCTGCCCCTCCGTGTTGGGCGTGCCGGCGACGGCAGGCGTGGTGGCGTTGGGCGTGCAGTACCCGCCGCCGCACAGCGCGCCCGCAGCCCCCGTGGAGCCACAGATGTTGCAGTCGGCAGTGGCCCTCTGCGCCATGTCGTTGCTGTTGGCGCACTTGCTGGCGTCTGCAAAGCAGTTGGAGCGCGAGTCACAGGCTGTGACCGCGGCGGTGGGGAAGGAGCTCGATAGGAAGTTGCTCGCCACATTGGGCGCCTTCACTGCTGCGCCCATGGTCGGCAACACGCCCATGAGGCAGTTGCGATTCAGCTTGCTGCTCGCACGCAAAGGCGGACGGGGGGGATGGAGAGACATGGCAACGTTAACCAGATGTGGCGGAAGATGACGAGTGATGGGTGGTGGTGGTGGGTCCATTGAAGGAGAGTGCCACACAACATATGGAGGGAAAAGGCATTCCCGCAGGGAGGCGTGTAGGCAGGAAGGGTGGTGAGGGCACTCATATGCTGAAGAGTGCTGGCAGGGCGAGCAAGGAGGAGGGAATGGAGCTGGAGAACCAGATGTATTGCAGTGACCTGCGGGCGGGCACGGGGGACAGGCATGGTGGGGTGATGTGAGGGGCAGGCGGTGATTATTGGCCTGATTAGACGCCTTCATGGCGGAAGAGATGGGCATGCCGATGTTGGCATTGGCAGTAGCACGTGGCGTTGAGTGCATCAGCACTCGCAGCGACTTGAGTGCCTTGAGAGTGCTGAAGAAGGACACAAACACTTTGAGACGCTGTTGAAACAGGTTGGCGCTCAGGTCCCTGCATGCACCCACGCACAACACACGCGTGCACACAGGGACGCATTCAAACACATACAGGACAGCTCTCACTGCGCTGAGGTAGCAAGATGGAAGACGGCGTGGTGCATATGGGAGGAAGTGAGTGTGCTGCACTGGGAGAAGGTGCAATGAACAGTGGCGTCTTGCAAGGGCGTGCACGGGCGTGCAAAGGGCTGGATGGGGAGACGCATAGTGCAGTGAGAGCAGTGAGCTTGCTGATGTCCTATGACAGGCTGCCAGTCAGCTTCTGGTTCGGCAGCATGCTGCAGATTGGTCAGGGGAAGGGGTGGAAAGAAGACGAAGGGGCGAGGAGGGAAGCGGAAATTATGCGACACGAGCTCTTGAATGCTGGGGGTGCTCAAGAAAGAGTGCTACAAGGGAATGGGGGATGCAACAAAGGGATGTGAAGATTAGTGGAGCAGAGCTGAGTGGGTAAAAAAAAAAATGCGCTCCCAGCACCGTGAGGCACGCAGTTAGGCAGCACTGACAGCAGGTGGAAGGTGTTCACTCATAGGGCGACGATGGCGCCAACGGAGTTGCAGTAGACGCTAGTCCAGGTGTGAGGATCTAGGATCGAGCTCAGAAAAGAGAATGTGAATTGAATTGAATTGAATGAATCACCTGGGTACAACACGAGGCTATATATAGGCTCGACACTAGGCCCCGTAACCAGGTGTTAAGCAAAGGTTCCGCGGGTCGCGAAGCGTCCCGAACAGATCCTTGCCGAATTCGGTAGAAGGCAATTCGGTGACAACCGAAAAGCCAGAATTCGGTGCACGCAACCTAGCTCGGTGCTATGACTATAATAAAATATAGGAAAGCACCTAGCCTAGGAAATCAAGCAATTCATACATGCATATAATTATCCTATGCTAGAAATAGCATCATGAAGTAAAGGCAAGTAAGCATAGCTGGCATAAGCCGTCGTACTCTCACACGTCCCCCCCTCAAAGCTGGGTGGCGTGAGATACACCCTGCTTGACAAGATAGTCCTTGAGAGCACGGCGTGCGTTGCCCATATCAGCTTCTGCAACCCAACTGTCCTCAGTGGGGTTGTATCCCTTCCAGCGTATCAGGAACTCGGGGTCTTGCCGCCGCGGCGCCGATGAGTGAGAACACGCTCCACTTCGTACTCTGGTTCATCTTGTATGAGAACAGGTGGTGGTGGCTGTAGTTGCCGTCCCTGGAACTGTTGGTTGGGGTCCTTGCACGGCTTCAGTAGCTGGACATGGAAAGCATTGTGAAGCTTCCATGTATCTGGTAAGCGCAAGCGGAATCTTACTGGTGTGACCTGTGCCTCAACAAGAAAAGGACTACAGAAGCGAGGCCGGAGCTTGGATGGTAGGTGAGACAGGTTCAAGTTGCGTGTGTCAAGAAGCACCTGATCTCCGACTGCTACTGAATGACCACGTCGCTGACGATCGGCATACTGCTTCTGGGAATTCTGCATCGTGGTGAGACGTCGCTGAGTCTTCTCCCATAGCTGCTGCATGGTGGTGACGAAGTCATGTGCGGCTTGGACGTGTGCCGGTGTGGTTGGCTGCTGTGGTGTGAGTGGTTCCTGTCCGTAACACAGGAAGAAAGGAGTTTTCCCTGTGGCCGCATGTGATGCGTTGTTGTAAGCAAACTCTAGGGTCGGTAACTGTGTGTCCCAGTGGCTGACGTCGTCCTTGCAAGCTGTGTGTAGTAACCGTTCAACCACTTGGTTGAGTCACTCTGTCTGTCCGTCAGTCGGGGGGTGGTATGCTGAAGACATTGCAAGCTTTGTCCCCAACAGTCCCATGAGCTCCTTCCAGAACTTACTCGTGAATTTTGGGTCTCTGTCTGAAATGAGTGTAGCGGGGATGCCGTGGATAGTGATGATGCGGTCAAAGAAGAGGCGAGCAGTTGCTTCAGCTATAGCTGTGGCGTTGGTCGGTATGAAGTGACCCATTTTTGAGAACTTATCGATCACTACGAGGATGGAATCGTGCCCCCGTGAGGTCGAAGGAAGTGCTGTGATGAAGTCAAGGCTAACGACCTGCCATGGCTGCACCGGTACGGGTAGAGGCTGAAGTAACCCTGCTTTTTTCTGCTTGCTACTCTTCATCCGCTGGCACGTATCGCAAGAGGTGACGAACTGATGCACGTCTGCTGCCATCCCGGGCCAGTAGTAATACTTCGCTTTCCCTGCTAACGTCTTGTTGCTCCTGAAATGTCCCGCGTAAGGAACGTCGTGAAACTCCTCCAATAGGAACTGCCGTAGCGGGGTGTAATTCGGTACCCAAATCTTTCCTGAACCCTTCCTTACAGCCAAGTCTTTCTCCCACTGTAACAACTTCTTGGTCTGTGCTGTAGCGATTTCTGCGTCCACGGAGTACCCATGTTGGAATAGACCCTTGAGCAGAGGGTTCATCCCGTCGAGCTGGAAGTTTGCTACATGTTCGGGGCGGCTCAATCCGTCTGCTTTGTTATGTAGCCCGGGCTTGTAGATAATGTCATAGTGGAAGTGAGTTTCCAGGAAGTCTACCCACCGCACCTGTCGTCGTGAGAGCGTCGGTTGCGACTTCAGGTATTTGAGACTGCAGTGGTCAGTATAGACTGTAGTCTTTGTTGGGTGCGAATTCACATTGCACGACATCCGGCCGTCTGTTTGTACGAGTATGCGTGTGTGAATGCATTTGCGTGTGAATGGTATGTTCGTATGTTTGTTTGTTTTCGCAATTTTCGCTTGAAGCATTTGCAGGTACTCGCAAAATGTGCGCTTTGGCACAACATTGTACGCGCTATAAACAGTGCAAGCAGAAAGGACGAGCTCGCAAAGGAACCCAAGATGGAAGCTTTGCAGTTCGGTCAAATTGATTGCGCAACTTCAGTTCTATCCAACTTGTAATTGTACTGTTTTGTTTCGTTGACTATAGTGTAGCAGGGGAGGCACTATAGGGGTACAATTTAGGTGAAGGTTGGATGTTGTTTGTCTGTATCTGCATGCTACAAGGCCAGGGGAAACAAGCGGAACCAGCATTTGGCTGGTTGGGCAAAGACAAAACAGGTTCTGTTTTTAGGACCTGAACCTGGTTGTTGTTTTCCCAGGTTGGAAAAACAGAACCAGAGGTTGTTTTCCAACCTACCACCTGCTGTTTGGTCCAGCCAGGCTGGTTCTGTTGCTTGGAATTATTTGGGATCATCCCTGGTTGTTCCCAGGTTGATTCCCAAGGTCCTTGCTAGCTAGAACTATATATTCCTTCTGTGTTTGTACCTGAATATAGTCAATTTGATTCAAGCGAATTCCTCCCTTCCTGGAATTTCCTTTCAACGCAGTGCGACGGCGGAACGCTACCCGACTCAATGCTAGTACGCTAGCACTCCAACGCTAGGCAAACGCTGTCTGAGCCATAACTTCGTAATGGCAGAACTTTTCGCGAGGCAACTTGGTTCATTTTAAAGCTCTTGGAGCGAGCTTCGATATAGGAAATTCTCAGCTTAATCCGGTCGACGGTCTGCACTATACGCTGCGTGACGTTCAAGGTACTCTTGCTGTTTTGACTAAGTCCCTCTTGATCCCTCTCCCTACAAGCTCAGACCCGAGGATAGGGGCTGGTCTTGTACCAGGCACCCAAGGACCCTTGGAGGTGACCCCGAGGAGAGGTTTTAAGTGTGATAAAGTCTTAATAGCTTGAATTTATTAGGCCCTTACACCAACAGTCTTGGCTCCCTCTAGGTAACATCTCCACGCCTTAAAGGCTATGACTATCGCTAAGGCTTCCCTGTCGTGGATGGGGTAGTTTAGTTCTGCTCTATGTAGCTTCTTACTGAGGTAGGCGATGGGCTGCAAACCGCGTCCGTGATCCTGCATCAGTACTGCTCCGACTGCTTGGTCACTAGCGTCTGCTTCCACCACGTAATCCTTGTCTGGACCCGGCAAGATGAGTACCGGCGCTGTAGTGAGTGCTGTCTGTAGCTGTTTCATGGCTTGCTGATGAGGAGTATCCCATTTGAAGGGCGTATCCTTTTTCAGTAGGTCGGTCAGTGGCACTGTTATCTTTGCGTACTACGGCACGAACCTGTTGTAGTAGTTGGCGAAGCCTAGGAACTGCTGCAACTCCTTCACGTTCTCCGGTACTTTCCACTTCTTGACGGCTTCGATCTTCCGCGGGTCCGCGTGTACGCCCTCGGCACTCACCATGTGCCCAAGAAACTGCACCTTCTTCAGGGCGAAGTCGCTCTTCGACAGCTTCACGTAGAACTTGTTTTTCCGCAGGATCTCGAACACCTTCCGTAGATGCTCCACGTGCTCCTTCATGTTCTTGGAGTAGATGAGAATGTCGTCCATGTACACCACCACGCACTTGTCCAGCAGGGGTCGTAAGATGTGATTCATCTCCGCCTGAAACGTTGCTGGTGCGTTGCAGAGTCCGAACGGCATCACCAAGTATTTGTAGGAGCCGTATCTGGTACGGAACGCCGTCTTGTGGACCGAGTTGTCTGCCATCTTGATCTGCCAATAACCCGATCGTAGGTCCAGCTTCGTAAATACTGTTGCTCCACGCAGTTGATCGAGTAGGTCGTCTATGCGCGGTATGGGATATTTGTTTTTAACTGTCTGTTTGTTCAGTGCACGGTAGTCGATGCACATCCGTAAACTGCCGTCAGGTTTTGGAGTGAAGTGAACTGGTGCACCGTAGGGAGAGGTGGATGGGCGGATCAATTGTCTGTCCAGTAGATACTCTATCTGTTTCTTCATGTCTGTCAGTTCTGTCCGACTCAGTCGGTATGGTGCACGTGAGACGGGTTTCGTACCTGGTTCCTCCAGGATCTCGTGCTCGTGGGTGCGTGCGGGAGGTACGCCTGCGGGTAGGTCGTCAGGCATTATATCCTTGTACTGCTCCAACACCTCCTTTACTGCTACAGGTAGCTCCGAACTCGGCTTCTCGTTGTTTAAGATGCTTGTTTTCCGGTTGACCCAGTCGATCTCGGGGTTGAACCGCTTCAGAAAATCTCGCCCCAAGATGAAATCTAATCCCTTGATGTTCGTGATCGGCAACGCCGGTTTCCACCTCAACGCCCCTATCTGCAGCTGCAGTGTTGACTTGCCGTGGATGGGAAGCTTCGTACCGTCCACCATCGTTGCTGTAAACTGGGTTTCTTCTTAGGATTCTCCAATTTTCTCCAACGTCCCGCGGTCGCATACCGAGTGGGACGCACCACTGTCCACCAGGGCCTGGAGGCGACGCGCGTTGCAGATCACCTCGAGTACTAGTGGTTGCTGCTGCTCCGAGTATCCGTGGATGGTATCGCTTCTAGGATCGTAGGGTACGTCGAATATTTATCCCTAGGTCCTGCGCTCGAAGATGCAGCTTCAGTACCTGTTTTCAATTGAGAAAGGTTAGAAGGATTTATCCGAGGCCGATTCGGCTTCTCTTGGGCCTGGAACCTTCCACTAAGCCTTTGCAGCTGAGTAGGCTTCATCTGTGGGGAACAGGGAGCCTTTAAACAGTGCTGCTGGGAGAGAATATTAACTCCTCGGAACGCTCGACCCGTATTAGCGCTCTGGAGTAGGGTCCCCATAATACCTGGTACCAATTTAATTTCTGACTCTCCCTTAATAAAGGCTTGAAACCCACGAGAAGTAATATTCTTACTTGTCGGGGTATACGGCTGGAGTTTCCCGGTCGGTGCAGGGTCTTGTTTCGCGGATCCTCCATTAGTCTCGACGATTTCTCCTGGTGCCGGCTGGTCGTGACATTTTAAGTTTGCGCCACCATATTCTCCTTTTTTCGCCCTCTCTGAAGTTGCCACGTTGTCCGTTTTCTGCTCCGGGGGTGCCGCACTGTTCTTGTCCTTCAGCTCCGCACACCTTCTCTTCATTTTCCAACACGCCAAGATACGATGTCCTGTAGCGCCGCAAAATTTGCACGTCTCATTATTTGCTAGCCGCTGCTCCACATCGCCCTCGTCGTTCTCCATCGGGTTGGCAGTCGTGGGTGGTACCAATCGCCCTATGCCACTAGTTGGCTTGTTGCGTCGTGTTCCGTAGTAGCTACTGTTCAACGTGTCAAACTGTTTGATCAGTGCTGCCGGAAACTGCGCCCACGTCCCCTCGCCTTGGACTATTCTGTTGTTGATCCACTCTAGAGCTGGGCCTCGTAACAGTGTTGCTGCGAGCCGTATGCGCATTGCGTCTTTTGTCGGGGTCGTGCATCCAACAGCTTCGAAGTAAATTTCGAGTTCAGCTACAAATCGACGAACGTCGTTCCTTTTTACTGTAGGATCGAACGCCTCTGGTAGCCTCGGCTTCACTGCTTCAAGGTTAACTGTAGCTGCTGCCGTTGTCGCATGTAGAATTGTCGGTGTTGCCGCTGCTGCTGCTGCTACTGTTTGTCGCTGCTGCTGTGGCGGTTGCCGACTGGTTTGCAAGGAGTTTTTCGAGTTGTGGGAGCGCCGCATGTATTTGCTTATGCTCAGCACGTAACTCCGCGATTTTGTGTACTAAAATATCTCCTTTTCCCTCCATTTGGCAATTTACAGAAAGATGCGCGACGAAAATAATCGAATTCTAGGTGCTGGTTGACTTACTGCGAGTTAAGTTGACTATAGGATCGACGAGCTCGAATTCTGTAGGTCGCGTAAATCTCTCCAGGCAAAATTCGCGTCCGATCTTGGCCGTTGACGAGAAAATCAATCCGACGCTCCAAATTCCAACTGTTTTGGGCGAAATTCTCTGGGCCGTTGAGATGAAACTCGATCGAACGGTCGAAACTCCAACCTTTCCACCAGCAAATCTGAGGTGTGTTCGAAAACCGAATCGAGGGGGACTTAGAAAAATTGCGCGGAACTGGTTTTACATACCCGTATCGGCGCTTTCGTCGTCGCCCCTGCGGTTTTTAAAAGGCCGGAACTAAGCGGTTGAAGACCCCGCGTGTAAACCCGCTCTGATTACGAAGTGTGAGGATCTAGGATCGAGCTCAGAAAAGAGAATGTGAATTGAATTGAATTGAATGAATCACCTGGGTACAACACGAGGCTATATATAGGCTCAAAACTAGGCCCCGTAACCAGGTGTTACGCGAAGGTTCCGCGGGTCGCGAAGCGTCCCGAACAGATCCTTCCCAAATTCGGTAGAAGGCAATTCGGTGGCAACCGAAAAGCCAGAATTCGGTGCACGCAACCTATCTCGGTGCTATAACTATAATAAAATATAGGAAAGCACCTAGCCTAGGAAATCAAGCAATTCATGCATGCATATAATTATCCTATGCTAGAAATAGCATCATAAAGTAAAGGCAATCAAGCATAGCTGGCATAAGCCGTCGTACTCTCACACCAGGACCCAGGCGTAGGAGCCTGCCCCTCCACCGTGTAGGCGTCCACGGTGGAGGCCATGGGCACGCTGCCACCCTTTAGCGCCTTGGGCTGCAGCGCCACCGTCGTGGCTGACCAGTCCGCGGCCGTCACTCCCAGCACCGACTCCAGCGCCAGCAAAGTTGTTGCTGCACGTGGGAGGAGAGGACGCAGTATGGTGGTATGCGGGGGCGAGGAGGGAAACAGAAATGAGGGGGAGAAAGGCAGAGAAAGGGGCAGTGAGTGTGGCAGAGCACCACTCACTGGTGTTGGCGTCCATGGCAACTGGTGTGTAGTAGAGGTTGCGTGTGGGAGAAGATGCAGTGATAGGCGCCGTGACGCGCGTGGTGTTGACGAGGCAGGGCACGCCGCCGCACAGCGTGCCCTGGCCGCTGTCAGTGCCGCAGATGGCGCAGTCTGCGGCGGAGCGCTGCGCGATGCCCAGCGAAGCATAGTTGTTGGCGTTGGTGAGGCAGTTGGTGGTGGCGGCGCAGTAGGTGAGCGTGTTGGTGGGGAAGGCGGCCGAAAGGAAGTTGCTCTGTACGTCCAGCGCCTTGGTTGTCGCCGGCACCGCAGGGAAGGCGCCCGTGAGGTAGTTGTAGCCCACGGAGCTGCAAGGGCAGGGGAGGGGGTGGGGGAAGGGCGGTGGGGAGAGAGACGAGTTGGGAAGGAGAGAAAGGGTGGGATAGGCCCTGTGGACGCTGCCCCAGGCACCACCACGCCCACCGCCCCCATCACAGAACGCCACAGTCATCGCACACACCCCACCAGTAACATTCCGTGCTACTGCTCGCACACCCCCTTGCTCACCTGCCTGCTCAAATACCCCCTTGCTCACCTGTCTGCTCAATACCCCCTTCCCACCTACCCTCATCAGCCCTGCTCGCATACCCCCTTCCTCGCCTGACCTGCTCGCATACCCCCTTGCTCACCTGCCCTGCTCTGCCCTGCTCGCATACCCCCTTGCTCACCTTCCCTACTCTGCCCTGCTCGCATAACCCCTTGCTCACCAGTTCTCCTGGCAGCAATCAGGCTACGCAAACAAGAGCTCTCCCCCCTGCCCCCTGCGTACCTGCGGTGTCTTTGAGGCCCACCACGGGGCTGCCCACGCACGTGCGGGGCAGCACGAGCTGCAACGAGCTGCTCACAGTGCCCGCTGCCACGGTTGCAGACGCGTTCACAGAGCACACCCCTCCTGCCCCCCAGCACAACGGCGGCACGCTCTTGGTGCCGCAATAGGCACACTCCGCCACGGGGTGCTGAGCTGTGCCGGCAGAGGAGTACTTGGAGAGGGACGCGAGGCACTTGGTGCTGCCGCCACACCAGAAGTAGGCAACTACTGGGAGGTCCGTGAGGAAGTTCAATCGCAGGTCCAGCGTGCGCAGCCCCGTGGCGAGCGCCGGCACGGTGCCTATGAGGTAGTTGCTGACGGCTCCACTGGGCGAGGGGGAGGGGAGTGCAACAAATGGAATTGGAGAGCTGGGTGAAGGAAGAGAGCGAAACAGCCGAGGCAGCAAATAGCCATACGATGAAAGTGATGGGCGAAAAAAATATGAGTGGGTGAAAAATGTTGGGTGCAAATTCACATTGCACGACATCCTGCCGTCTGTTTGTACGAGTATGCGTGTGCGAATGCATTTGGGTATGAATGGAATGTTCGTGTGTTTGTTTGCTTTCGCAATTTTTGCTTGAAGCATTTGCAGGTACTCACGCATTGTGCGCTTCGGCATAACATTGTACACGCTATGAACAGTACAAGCAGAAAGGACGAGCTCGCAAAAGAACCCAAGATGGAAGCTTTGCGGTTGGGCTTACTTGATTGCGCAGATTCAGTTCTATCCAACTCGAAATTGTACTGTTTTGTTTGGTTGACTATAGTGTAGCAGGGCAGGCACTATAGGGGTACAATTTAGGTGAAGGTTGGATGTTGTTTGTCTGTATCTGCTTGCTACAGGGCCAGGGGAAACCAGCGGAACCAGCATTTGGCTGGTTGGGCAAAGACAAAACAGGTTCTGTTTTTAGGACCTGAACCTGGTTGTTGTTTTCCCAGGTTGGAAAAACAGAACCAGAGGTTGTTTACCAACCTACCACCTGCTGTTTTGTCCAGCCAGGTTGGTTCTGTTGCTTGGAATTATTTGGGATCATCCCTAGTTGTTCCCAGGTTGATTCCCAAGGTCCTTGCTAGCTAGAACTATATATTCCTTCTCTGTTTGTACCTGGATATAGTGAAATTGATTCAAGCGAATTCCTTCCTTACTGGAATTTCCTTTCTACGCGGTGCGACGGCGGAATGCTACCCGAGTCAACGCTAGTACGCTAGCACTCCAACGCTAGGCAAACGCTGTCCGAGCCATAACTTCGTAATGGCAGAACTTTTCGCGAGGCAACTTGGTTCATTTTAAAGCTCTTGGAGCGAGCTTCCATATAGGAAATTCTCAGCTTAATCCAATCGACGGTCTGCACGATACGCTGCGCGACGTTCAAGGTACTCTTGCTGTTTTGACTAAGTCCCTCTTGATCCCTCTGTCTACAAACTCGGACGCGAGGATAGGGGCTGGTCTTGTACCAGGCACCCAAGGACCCTTGGAGGTGACCCCGAGGAGAGGTTTTAAGTTTGATAAAGTCTTAATAGCTTGAGTTTATTAGGCCCTTACACCAACAAGCTGGTATGAGAGCTGCGTTATAGTGATCCTCGATATAGGTAGCTATGGCGGGCAACTCCTCTACGGGAGCTGGTGAATCTTCAGCCCAAGATCGTAGCGGCAGCCATGATTCTGGTGTTTCAGCGCCAAGGGGAGCGCGAACAAGCCAGGGCTCGCTGGTCAAGGAGGTGCTGAAGAATTTCACCGTCGAGAAGTTCAATGGTGGGGGCTATGATGATTGGGCCTGGAAAATGCAACTCTATTTCCGTCATATTGGATTGCTGAAACTAATGATTAGGGAGGAGCCTAGACCGAGTGACCCCGCACTGCAGGAAGATTGGGACGAGCGCTCCTCAGCTGGCTACTATTTTGATGTCGCAGAGTTTGGAGCTGAACCAGCGTCACCACGTCATGCACCTGCTGCCGGAGGTTGAGTGCGGTCCGAAGGCGTGGACCGTGTTAAAGGAGCTGCACGCCCCGACCTCCATTGTTGCAATGATGATACTGGAGAGGGAGCTGTCCGCATTGCGCCTGAGCGAGGGAGAGCCGGTGCAACCTGTCCTGGACAAATTGCGCGACCTCTACGCGAAGTTGGCGACCGCGGGAATCACCTACCCGGAGCAGACCAAGTGCCTGAAGATGCTCTCCCTGCTGCCGGAATCGTGGCTTCAATTCACGAGTGGATTGAGCCCGCCGCAGAACCAGAGCTCATGGACACTCGACTGGGTGTGGACAAAGATTCTAGAGGAGGACTTCCGTCGCCGCCAACTGAAGGGTGGAGACGACGGCAGCAGCGGCTACGGAATGCAAGGGAGCCGACGTGGCAGAGGACGTAGCTTCGGTGGTGGTGGACGCGGTGCAAAGAAGGACGACGACTCCAACGACCAACAAGGAGGTACCGGTTGGGGTCGCGGTGCGAAATCTGGATGTGGGGGCAAGTCGGGTGCTGGTGGCAAAATGAAAGGGAGTTGCTGGTATTGTGAGAAGGAGGGGCACCCCTGGTTTTTGTGCTATAAGAAACCCGATGGATGGACCCCCCAGAATCGTCACCAGGATGGCGGCGCGCGGAGGAACCAGAAAAACGGCGCGAGCATGGTTGCTGATTCGTCCAACAACAACCCGAAGAGCAACGGCGGTGCGGAAAAGAAGAAGGAGCGCACCGCGGGCCAGTTCTTCCATATTGGAGAGAAGGGGGAGCAGGGGGAGCAAGGAGACGCCTCTGCCAAGGTTGGAGCAGAGCTGCACCCCCTGGATTATTGGGTGTTGGACACAGGCGCTGCTTGGACGATGACGCCGCGAAAGGACCTGCTAGACCACGTACGCACTGCACCGATCAACGAGGTGTGCTCCGCCTCTGGACACGCGCTGAAGGTGGCTGGTGCGGGACGAGCTGCGTTTAAGGGAGCGGATGGCAAGCTGGTGGTGCTGCACGACGTTCTCCTTGTTCCTGAACTCAAGGCCAACCTCATCTCCCTCCGTAAGCTTGGCAAGGCTGGGGTGAGTACTAACATAGATGGGGCACGCACTTACAAGGGGCAGCTGGGAAATCGGGTGCTTTGGGATCTGCACGAGAGCAAGGACGTGTACAGATCCATGTGGCAGCTGCCGGCATTGGCGTGGCATGGTGGGGGGCAGGCTGGAGAGGGGTCTGTATCCCAGGGGGAGTGAAATGCCATTGGAGGGGTTGGTGTGAAAGTGTCGGCCAGATATGGGGAGACGGATTGGGCAACGGCACACCGACGCTTGGGGCATGTGGCAATGCCCTTGTTGAAGCAGTTGGAGAAAGATGGAGCCGTTAAGGGTCTGAAGTTGAACGGACAGCCACCTGATGAGAATTGTGAAATCTGTTTGCCCTCAAAGTTTACCCGTTTCCCCTTCCATAGTGTGGCTGGCAGGAGCAAGTAGCCATTGGAGCTGGTCCACATGGACTTGGTGGGGCCGCTGCCGGTCCAGGGGCACAAGGGGGAGCGGTACTTTCTGACCATAGTGGATGACTAGAGCAGGCTTATGTGGGCATTTCCGCTGAAGCAGAAGGACCATGCTGCCTCTACGATACGGGAAGATTGGCTGCCATTCGTGGAGAAGCAAGCGGAGTGTGTGGTGAAGCGGATTAGGACAGATCGGGGTGGTGAGTTCCTTGGAGCTGAGATGACGGCCTGGCTCAAGAAGCAGGGCATCCAGAGGGAGCTGACCACGGCTTACACCCCACAGTCTAATGGTGTAGCAGAACGGGCGAACCGGACAATTCTGGAGACAGCTAGGGCGCTGCTCATAGAATCTGGGCTGGGCAACTTGATGTGGCCCCATGCTGTTCGGCACGCTACCGTCGCTAGGAACAGGGTACTCACAAAGGTTGGGGATGACTCGTGGGTGCCGTTGGAGAGGTGGCTTGGGACGAAGCCGCCGGTGGACATGCTGAGGGTGTTTGGTTGCATGGCACTCGCCCATGTCCCCAAGACCTACCGCAGTAAGTTAGGGGCGAGTGCAATCTGGTGTGTGCATTTGGGGCTGGTTGCTGAGAGCAAGGGATGGCTGCTGTGGGAACCTTCCAAGGGTGTGTTGTTTGACAGCAGGGATGTGAAGTTTGTTGAGGGCATGATGTATGGGAGCTGGGAGAAACAGCCGGAGGCCAGGGTGTCCCAGCAAATGGAGCAGATCACCATGCAGCTGGACCTGACTCCTAGTGTGTGGGAGGAGGGAGAGGAGGCAGCTGCAGAGGGTGGTGATGGAAAGAAGGTACAAGAGGCACCTGCTGGTGGAGAAAATGATGTGGAGACTGGCACTAGTGGAGCTGCTGGATCTGAGGGGAGAGAGCAGCAGCTGGGAAAAACTAAGAAGCCGAAGGGTGTCGTTATGAAGGGATGGGAGACACCCGTCTCTAGGCGAGGACGTACCCGTATGGCTACTAAGAAGCTGACTGCAGGAGCTGATGTAGCGGAGCAGCAGCTTGAGACCGAGGAGGCATTGCTGATTCTACCGCATGGCTATGATCCAGATGAGGATGAACGTGCCTACTGTTTTCTTGCCCCTGCACCAGAGGAACCAGCTAGCATGGAGGAGGCATTAGCTGGACCAGATAGGGAGAAGTGGCTGGTTTCCAGGGATGCTGAGTACCAGAGCCTGCTAGAGAATGGGACATGGGAGCTGGTGGTGCTGCCTGAGGGGAAGAAAGCCGTACAGGGCAAATGGGTGCTAAGGATCAAGACCGATGACAAGGGACAGGTCACCATCTACAAGAGTAGGCTGGTGGCTAAGGGGTTTATGCAGAAGGAGAAGCGGGACTTCAATGAGATCTTTGCTCCCACTGCCAAACCCCCTACCCTCCGTGTCTTGTTGGCAGATGCAAGCGTTAGTGGGAAATTCATCATTCAGATGGATATATCTACGGCATTCCTCAATGGGATTTTAGAGGAGGATGTGTACATGAGGCAGCCACCTGGGTATGAGGATGGTACGGGCAGGGTGTGCAAGCTGAAAAAGTCCATCTACGACTTGAAGCAGGCGCCACACTGCTGGTACCAGAAGTTGGCAGCTGTTTTAGAGGAGATGGGATTCAGGACCAGCAGCTGTGATGAGAGCCTCTTTCTCAAGGGGGAGGGGGAGAAGCTGGTGCTGTTTCTGGTCTATGTGGACGACATTCTTCTCTTTAGCAGCAGCATGAAGGAGATCCAGAAGGTGCAGCAGCAGCTGATGGAGAACTTCATGTGCAAGAACCTTGGGGAGGTAAAATACTACATCGGGATGCACGTAGAGAGGGATCCAGGTCACAGGTGGTTGAAGCTGCACCAGGAGAAGTTCATCAAGAAGCTTGGGTAGAAGTACGAAATTGAGAATGAGCGCAAGGATGAAACTCCCCTGCCAGCTTAATTCAAGCTTGTGAAAG